CGCAGAGTGCATGATTTATGCAATAGTATTTTATCGTCGTGCTGAACGCGCAATTATTCGTTCGCCTCATTTAACAAGTTTAACAAGTTCACGCTTTCAGAGGATTTAGTAGTATCCGTAGGGAATGAATCTATTATAGCGGTGTAGAAAATGAGGCAAAAGAATGCCGAGGCAGTCTCCGAGGGACAGCACGAATGAAAATTTGTGAAAGGGAAGAGTGTAAGATGTCAGCAAGGAACAACTGTCACATGCTTAGTGTCAGATGAATGAGTACTCTCACGCTTTGAACTCTTTGACCAGTTGGGGATATCTTTCCCTGGACAGAATCGAGCAACGTATAGCATTGAAGGGCTCCTCATAAATGTTGACTCCTTGTAAGATCTCTAATGTGCACAAAATAATGTAAGTAATAAGATTAATCATGAAACTGCAATAAAATCAAGCGTTCAACGATAAGGTGTCAGCAATGATTTGGTTCTATTCGATGTCTCCTGATCTCCTGATCAATTTTGTGTTTCCATTGATATTCAATTGGATTGAATTACGCGAACATAACTCACTACCGGATTTCCAGATAGACTACGGTGCTAACAGCAACTGAATTTTCATAGTGCAATCGAATCAAAGATATGAGCGATTGACTGACTTATATTAATCAGTCATGAAGTCTGTCGCTTCAACTGAACCAATTTATTACGTTAGTGAATTTTCAACTCGTTTAGCACTTTGCTTCCACTGAATGTGGGCATTTTCGACCCTCAGAACCTCAAAGCCTCAAAATTTTGCAAATTCAATCACCACAATCGATTGCGACATCTTTCGACCTCTAGTAGGGATGCGCTACTATCACTTAAGAACTTATCTTTCCAAAAGCGGCCCTAGAACCTCACATTCTGATCCAAAGATCAACTTATTGACGGAATTGATCAACTCGTTATGAAACATTTTATTGTTTCCCAAAGCTAATCACAGAAAAGTTGCGACTATTTCGGAAAAGAATGATTATGGATGGTATAGCGGTTTTGATTCGCACTGGAAAGTCTCGGTGAATCAATTGCTGTGGTGTTGTTTTATTTGTTAATGTGTTCATAATGTTTGAGTTTAAAGCTTCCGAAATTCCCAAAATGGTCAATCGAATGATACGAAACTGAATTGAATAAGACGACAGATAACATCAGCGAGCGTTTGCAGCGGCATTGTGAAAGAATACATTAAGTATTACAAAGGAAGGAAGTTCTAAACGAGGATGTGCATTGAACTCTAACGTTCAAAACATCATGATTCAACAAGGGAAATAGATGATCTTTTCAGTATGAGTCAGTTCATTGACTGTTATGATTAACGTCATATATGTGCTTATCCTTCGAATAGATAGATTTGTGGACATCATCCTTACCAAGCAATTGGCAAACAACGAAGAAAATTAAGAATATGCTGAATTTTTTGTGAATCGATACGGGAAGATTATCTTTGCAAAATCGACCCGAAAAATTTAAAGTTTAAATATGATCCAACATGAATATCAATCATAACCTAACCTGATTATTTTTGCACAGTGATTGAATATCCGACTTCACAATGCCTTGATCGCAAGACGCAGTCTTCAGCACGAGTACCGCTGTCAACGAATCGTTTTTACTCGCACTAATAATCTGAAGTCGTGCTGTATTCTAGCTACATGCGCTAACACCATGAGAAGATTACACAGAATAAACGATACGAACTTACGAATACAAATCCTGTGAGCATGAGCAGATAAGGATCATATGCCAAATATAAAGTTTCCAAAGTCGTCAAATCAAAATCAGAGTTTAAATGTAAAACAACATGAATATGTGGCAATAGGAAACGTGTTCGAATCCACCAACCTGAGCACCCTTGACCTGATCGTATGCACAAATTGTTTTCTCCATCGTCCAGTGTTCGATAATTTTTCCGTTCTTATCAGTAATCAAATCCTCTTTGCTGGTGATCAACTCAACGCTACCGTTCGCATCAATCGAGACAATATCACTGCAACAGTCAGTATTCTTTTCTCGAACACGGTTATGGCATAACCATAAGAATCCAAAACAAATTGATCATACAACTATGAAAATTTAAGAATTTCTCATTCAGATTTCTATATTCGTTTGAAAGTTCGTTGATGAAATCGCCTAGAAGTTCAAAGGCATCATCGGCTCACCCAGTGTCGATCCAATCCAATTGTGCGTCAAATTTTGGTCCATAACCGAGAAATTTCGTTCCGTCAACCGGCTTGATTCTCAGTTCACCAATTTTTGCGTTTGCAGTGGGCATAACGGCACCAATATCGCAGACGTCAATCTACGGAAAGGATTCGTATGATTTGGAAACAGATTCAAATTCGTTTTGACCATGAAGTAGCCCAGTGTTAGAAATTTTTGCATCAACTCACTAGCTGTTTTACGACTAGGAATCTAATAACATTGATTAAAGGTATTCAAAGTTAGTTAACAGATAGTTGAGTGCGACGAAAGTGTGCTTGAGATGATCTCAAGATGATTTTTTTAAGGCGATGTCGCAATTTTCTGTGTTGGAAATTATGCAGTCATAATAGATTGAAGTCATTAAAGAATTTTGCAAGATCATAAAGAATCTAGCGGACTGTTAGATAAATATAATGAGTTGAAAGTTTTATTTCAGTGTTTCCATTGATTAGCGATGTACTCTTTGAATCAGTGGCTTTGAACTTAAAAGATTTCTTTCCAGTGTTATGCTGTCATGATTATGAGATCGTGCAACATCATTGTGGTGGTGTATGAATCACGTAAAAATCGTAACTAATTTGATTGTGCAAATGAAATTCCAGCAGCAATTTACTACAATCAAACATAGCATAATACGGCAACTGCGTATAAGCAAGCAAATAAGCAAGTAATTTAACTAGTCATGATCGGTAGTTTGGAAGTGATTTAATCTTAGAGAATATACCATTGGATGTAAGCAATGTCTTCAAATAATATATCCTCAATTTGCTCGAATAAAATAACGAGTAAGTTGTGCTGCATGTGTTTGTGGTTGGTTGCTTGATGCATTGCTAATGAAATAAATGTAATTAAGCGAGAAACATTGACAGCGTTTCATCGTTTCATCGTAATCGTTATAAATCAATGAATAACATTCTTTGCTCTTTCTTTCTAGCTGAAAGATCGTGTACTGAAAGCCTAACCAAGCCATATCACATCCGTGCGGTGCTACAATGGCCATATTTCATTTATGATACAAATTGTTTTATTGACGCCTTTGAATTGTTTCACAGGGACTATTTAGAGTGATTTTACCGCAGCTATCAGCCAGAGCCAGCTTCTTTGAATTGCGATGCCCTCTTACAAACACCACACAGAGAATCACTGGAGACATCCAAATGATATCCAAGAGTCCAGATTCGAAAACCATAATGTCTTAGCGCTTATTTCACTGGCCACCAAATCTTAAGGGATCAAGAGGTCAGCTTAAAGCTTCACCGTTAGCACATTTCTATCTTACTAACTCGAAGCTGTGTTCAA